GTGCTGTCATTCATCTTAATCTCATTCAAGATTTATCTCATTCACGGCTGCCACCTGAACTCAATTATGGTGCATGCTATTTAAAAGATCATCTAATATATATATAATTTCATTCTTTCCTAGTAAAAGCCATGCAGGGGATAGTAGCTATGATGAATTTTGACAACAATATCTACAGAAAAGATCCATTTGTGTTTAAATGGAGAGATCTTTCATATACTGATGCAGATGAGGAGAATAGAAGTTATTGCTCAGAAAAAAAACAGCATGGTGACTCTCAGAATTGCATTTCACTTACTCTTACTGCCATTCACTACTACTGTGGTCAGTGTGGGAATCAGAGCAACTGGAAATGAGATACACTGTCAGTCAGCCTCTACTACCCCATGTCCCTGCTCTACAGACAGCATACAAAATATTTTACTTACTTGAAACAGGCAGACAGGTTTGAGCAAATTAGAAGAAAAGGAATATACCTTCAGAGCCAGCACAGATATTTGATCACTTTAGGCAAGAGTCACATACTCAGGTGAATTTTGGGAATCATATAATCATAGTGACATTCTTTTTCTTTTTTTTTTTTTGTTCCAAAGAATTAAATATTATTGATATGTGACTCCACGGAAAGAAAACGAGTTGTGTTTAATTGTGTGTGGGTGGGAGGCATGCGATTTGCACATGATTTAAATAGATTCTGCCTCATGCTATGACACAGATCTTTGTTCTGAAAGAGTTGTGTTTGTCTCTTTCAAGGGAGTGGACAGCACTTCCTGTCTGTCAGCTCATCTGGACCCGAAGAAGGACACACGGCGAGAATCACTACTTCCCAGTACTTTCCAGCAAGCCTCGGAGTGTGTACTGTTCGGTTCTGGTTCTACATGGTTGACCCCAAGAGTATGGGGATATTAAAGGTACAAAAGGGAGGTGGGAAGTGTTTCACTGAAATATTCATAGCATGTGTTTAAACTTTTTTTTTTTTTTTTTGAAATCACAGAACACCAGTGTTGATTCCATTAATTTCTCATTTCTTTCTGGGACAGTGGGATTTTGGCCAACAGTGCTGTCATTCATCTTAATCTCATTCAAGATTTATCTCATTCACGGCTGCCACCTGAACTCAATTATGGTGCATGCTATTTAAAAGATCATCTAGAGATAAAAGAGGATGGGCAGATTCCACATGCATCTTCTACTAACAACTCAGATAGGGAAAATGCAGACATGAGACGGGAGGGATAATGATAAAAAGAATTTTCTTCCCCAAACTAGGTAAAAGCAAAGAAATTTAAGATTTTAAGCATCTATCGGCTTACCCAAAAAACAACTTGCATGCTCCATTTTTGACTAATTTAAAACAAGAATCTGCATCAAATGCAAATGTCTTTGAAGAAGCAGGTTGCTGCATTTTTACTACTTTTCGTTGTATGAAATATCAGTAAGCTTTTCAATCAGCCTGAAGCAATTTTGAAATCTTGATTTCTAATTGTAAGATTATATATCAGAACACAATACCTGGTGTTACTGCTTTGTAATTATACAACCACCTGTTGTTTGAATAAATACAGTTGGACTCTTTGACTTTATCTCAAACATTGTCCCTTGTAAACAATACAGTTACTAAGTGATTCCTATCTTTCAGGCTGGGTATTGTAAGCTTCATATCTGGTATCTCTTTTAATTCTACCATTCATCTCATGAGGTAATATATTTTCCCCAATTTTACAATTTAAAAAACGGAGACTCAACGTGGCTTAGTAACTTTTCTATTATAAAATTAACGAAAAATCTGATTTCAAAAATATGACATCGCTTACCCAGCATGGTTTCACAGGTGTTCTGCCGTCTAACAAAGAAGTCTAAGGAGAAGAATGGGGAACAGAGAGAAAGGAAAAAGGGCCTTATCAATTCTAGCCAGTGATAGAAAAGAGAGCTCTTCAAGAAGAAATACAAACGTGCAATGAAAGTAGAGAATTTGTGCTGATTCTCTATGCATGCCTGTTTTCCTAAAGGGAAGCCAGTAAAAACAACAGAGAAAGAGATTCATTTTTAACAGTTTAGAAACAAGTAAATGAAGATCATGTGACAATTTTGGAATTTTTTTCATTGTTTTTCAAAACAGTATATGAAAACTCAGTAGATTAGCCTATTGCTTATGTTACATTTTATCCAGGGTTATTTATAACCACTAACCTTAGAGAGACTCCACAATACATTATTTCTACTGATTTTTTTTAAATTTTACTTTATTATGTTATGTTAATCACCATACATTACATCATTAGTTTCTGATGTAGTGTTCTATGATTCATTGTTTGCGTATCACACCCACTGCTCCATGCAGAACGTGCCCTCTTTAATACCCATCACCAGGGTACTGATGTTTTTAAACACAGACTCCTGCAGTTGACGAGGACACAAGTCCCTGGTTGTTACTTATGGAAGAAAATACCAATGGAGAGGCCAAGAGACCTTTCAACAGAACACAAGTTGATTTCAGTCACTGTCTCACAAAATGTTGCTTCCTCAGTTCAAAAAAGAGCATCCTTACCTTATGTCTTTTAGCTACTCACCAGCTGGTTGGTCAGACTGAATATTTTTGCACCTCCCCCCCATTGGTATGTGAAATCCTGAGACTGCTACTTCAGTCACCCATTGCTTGGAGCCATGTTTCTGGAAACATGTAAACTTTGAAAAAAATGTTGGCCTCAGGTCTTGATTTTTGATACCCTGCTTTGGTGACTGTGGGTTTTTTTCTAACCAGGAGGCAGCAAGTACGTGTAGCTATGCTCCAGTCTTCAGAAAGTTCTACTGCAAAGAACAGTGCTAGAGAATTAGCCTGACAACCGCTTTTTGTGGAGGAGTCACTCTCCCCCACTCCAAACTGTCCTGACAGGGTTGACTGTTACTGTAGGTTTCTTTTACCAACTCCACAGCTGACCCAAGTCATAGTCTTCTCCAATGTTTGGTGCAGATTATAGGACGATTTGTCTTTCTTGCAAAATCATAAGGATATAAGCTAGATTTGGGCTGTTGGAGACCATCTTTCCCAACATGGGGAGGGAGACTGTCTGAGAAAGAAGCAAACACAGGAACTAATTAAACTAAAGAAAGAGGGAGAAACAGAATGGTATTTGCTCTAAGTCCTGGATCCTACCTTGACTGAGCCAGTAAAATTCTCTTTTTGTTACTTGCTACTGAAAAGCCCTACCTTTTACAGAAACCCGAGAGAAGCTGTTTTCATAATGTATCCTTATATCACTGATGAACGTAAGGGACAAGTCTCACTTTCTCAACTATTGGTCTGGAAAATCCTGTGTGTGTGTGTGTGTGTGTGTGTGTGGTTCAGGACCACATGGTGCATCATAGTTGTTCTAATCTGAAACTATTTCTTAAATTAGAACAACATAGTTGTTCTAATCTGAAACTATTTCTTAAATTAAATTAGATCTTATTCTAAAGATATTTGCCATATCTTTAGAAAAGATATGGCAAAATACCAATGGTGAAGTTTTATAGTAGAGGGCCTAGGAGGCCATAAAAATAAAAAGGCATTCCTAAGAGAGATTTCAAATTATAGTTTGTGGTAGAATGCTTTCTTGTCACCACACATGTTATGGAATTGTATTCAGTGCTCTGCATCGCCAGCCCTTCTGTGCTTTGTTCCATATCCCAGAGAACTACAATTCCCAGGCTTCTTCCCTCTCTGCTTTCCTGAATAGGTTTGGCCAGTACTTTCCACTGGCCAAAGACCTGAGAGCAGGAAGACTAGACAAGACTTTCTTCTCCCCCTATCCCATTCTCCCTCCCTCCCCCCATCCTTCCCTCCATTTTTCTCTCCCTCCCCCCTTCCCCCTCCTCTGCTGAGTTTCTAACTGCATTTCATTTCTGACTCAGCTTTTTCCAGATCAGCCCTGCCTTCCCCAAGTATGCCTGCCAAACTCCATCTTCCAGCAGCTCAGTTTCAGTGACTCCCTTTGGCTCTCTAGTTTTAGCAGTGAGACCATCTTCTTATGCATAGTGATTAATTTCTAGGATGCTTCATGATTTCCTTGGTGATTTCTCATCTTTTCCATAAACTTTGCAACCAGCGTTCTACATTAAAGTCTCTCTATTTGAAATACATTAGAGTAGTTTATATTTTCTAGCTTGGCCCAGTCTAATACAAGTACCCACTCCAAAGAAAACACAAATCTTTTCAAGATAATAACTTGTAACACAATGAAAAATTTTGAGTGAACTCCAGTCAGTTTAAATTTGTCCTCTTTATATTAACTTATTAAAAACTTGCCCTTCAGTTGGGGAAGACAGAAAACAAAATTTAAAAAAATGCAAATACGAAAACCTCAACTTGTGATACAATACTCTGGAGCAAATAAAACAGGTTTCTGTAATAGTTACTCCTGGTCTGCTGGGAGAGTTTTATTTTATACTGAATGGTAAGAAAGTCTTTGAGAAAGATGACATTTGAATTTAGGCTTAAAAAAAAAAAAGGAGGCTGCCTGTGAACATCTGGAATAAGAATGCTCTTGGAAGGCAAAACAAGCTAATGAAAAAGCTCAACGTATAAGATAGTTGAAGGCCAGTGTAGCTGGAGCAAAATAAGCGAGAGAGAGAGAGAGAGAGAAGGAGAGAGGATAATGATGTTGAAGAAACAGGCAAGAGCCAGGTCGTGTTGGCAGGACCTTTGAGGGACACAAGGAGATTAGCTTTTATTCTAAGAACCACAGAAAGTCATTGGAGAGGGTCTTAGTCATCTTGGGCTGCTATAACAGATTACTGTGGCTTAAGCAATGGAAATTTACTTCTCACAGTTCTAGAGACTGAGAAGTCCAAGTTTAAGGTACTGACCAATTTGGTTCCTGGTGCGGACCCTCTTCCGGGTTTGCAGATGGCTGCCTTCTCACTGTGCGCTCACCTACAGAAAGAGAGACCATCTCTCTCCTGTCTCTTCTTATAAACACACTCATCCCATTCATGGGGGCTCTACCCTCATGACCTGATTGCCTCCCAAATACCTCACCTCCAAAAACCAAAACATTGGGAATTGGAGCTTTGGCATGTGAATCCAGCTTGGGGGGAACATGTTCAGTCAATAGCAGAGAGTATTAAATTGTGGAATAATATAATCTCATTTGAAAGTTCAAAAGATCTATCTGACTGCTCTGTGGAAAGGAATGGGGACTGGTGAGTAGGAGGTGGCCAGAGGTCTGGCAGTAAAACAAGGAGGCAAGTTAGAGATGATTTCTAGGTGTCTGGAGCAGAGAAGATGTAGCTTTGCTTAAAGTTGAGTCTAAGGATAAATTGGAAAGCAATTTCTACAAATAATGAATAGTTAGATCTTCACCTGGCATAAAAGACTATTTTCTAAATAAAACATGCTTTAATTTTATTAGTATATTAATGAAGGGCATCATATAAAGCCAAACCAGACAAGACTTGTTCCGTCAGTTAGATCATGGTGAAAACCAATTATGATTTTCCTATTAATTTTTAGGATAAAAAGCCAAATAATTCAGATTTATCCCAGCCTGCAAAGTTGGCATAATAGGCTGCATGAAGAAGGCATGTGTTTTATAGGAACATGGAAGCCTGATGATAAAGGAATAATATTCAGAAAATGACTAATATTCAGAAAAATGAAATGTTCACACAGGCATCAGTGTCCTTTGATTCAAAGGCTCAGGAAATAAAAGAATAATGCTAATACATACTTTATTTTCTAGGTCAGGTTTTTTTTTTTTTTCCTGTCTTTCAATTACCTACCTACATATAAAATTAAAAGCACTCCTTAAAATGGTGCTGGTCACTTTTTGATCCACATTGCTAAAAGAGCCCTAAGTGAACCAAATAATTTCCCATGAGATTACTTAGTTCCATTAGTTCGGATTCCTAGCTTCTGGCTTGTTTTGAT